CACTTAGCCGCACGTCAGCTTCTGCTCTGTGGCCAAGGTCAAGCTCTGGACAGGGTTGGACAGACATGAAAACGGAGACCTCAGTTCCAGTAAAACCACTGGGGCAAGCAAACTATCCCACCTGGGATGCGCACCTGCCTCCAGTCTTAGGCGAAGACTGATAAACTTCCTGTACTGAGCTACACCTGTCAGAGCAGCTGGGCCTGCACTTTAAAAGTAACCACCTTCATTTGTATAATTCCGGGTTCCCACCAGCTTTGTTCTTAAAAGACTGATTTCCTGGTGACACGTAAAGCGCAGAACTTAGAGGATTTAAGAACTTTCTTCTTGTGTTTTTCTTCTTAACTCTTTGGTCCTTGTGTAATTTAAAAAATAAAATAAAATTTATTTTCCTGCTTTTCTTTCATGTTAATTTTTAGCTGCACTAGAAATATATATAATAGTTTTGGTAAAAATCTAGAGTTCTCCCTCTTATAACACTGAAAACTCTGATGCACTCTCTGAAGCAAGAAAGAGCCCTGTGCTGATGCGATTTTGATTCACTAGCTGACATCTCCTGAGATCAGAGGACTGCGGTGTCCCTGTTTATCTTCAGACAAAACAGTGCCATGAAGACAGCTTCAGCTCCATTTCAGCTGAGCCATGCTACACTGTGAATGTCCATAACCAAGCAGGCTCCAGGAAATAAGCCTTTTTAAAAAACTATTGTATTCATAGAGGAGGCAACTTGACCATCAGTATTTAATCACCAAAGTGAAACACAGAAGGAGAATGTTTTATTTCCACACTAAGGAAAAAATGAAACAGAGATGTGCAAAAGAGTGAGCCTGCATGAAGAAAGGAAGCCCCGTGCCAGCAAGAGCCACCGGACGGCCTCCACAGAGCGCGCAGGATGCAGGCTGCATGACTTTGAGCAACAGACTCAAAATCTGTAAGTGGAAGAGCTAATTCATCATTAAACTAACGTCATTAAAAAAACTAACACTTCTAAAAAGTTTGTTTAAAATGCATGGCTTCAGTGTTTGTTCTTGTCATTTTATTTGTAAGTTTTCAATTTTCCAGCAGGCTGACAACTGTGTGATAAATTTCACAGATAGAAGGGATTTATTTATTTATTTATTTTTGCTGACAAGTGGAAACAATAGAGCTTTTCAGTGACAAATAGGAAGGTGATCAATCACAAGGAAAAAGCACAATTCCTCTTACAGGGAACGTGAAGACTGACTGCTCTCTAAGGGCGGAGTGTCTGACACAAGTCTTGCCATGAGCTTCAGGATTCACACCGTCCTGAAGGACACCTAAAGACAGGAGGCCTGTGGAACTGTTTCTACAGCAGGCAACTTCTGCTCAAAATGCAAAAGAGGAGTGGGAGAAAATACCTAAAATGTAATTGCAAGCGAAGTAATAAGAAACAGACGCAAGCTACCAGAAGTCTTCATGGAGCAGAAAAAAAAGGCACATTTATCTTGTGGGCTCCAAAGCAGTACATTTTTTCAGACTTCTAATACTTTTTATGCGACTTATTTCCCCAAAATGAAGTATACTTTTACCTTGTTGAGTATCTAGCAAAAATGTATACAAAACACACTTAAATCTTAAGTTTAATTGAAACTACCAACAAAGACATTGAGCTAGTTTGTCTGTTTTTTACAGAAATGGTGAACTTGCAGGCAGCAAACACCGAGGTCAAACATTCGAAGATATTATTAGCGTTACTAACGTCAAAATGTAGAATATTGAGTAACATTATCATTTTGTATTTAAATAAAGTTCACTATGTTGGAAGATAGAAGGAGATCAGGTTTCATATTCTCTTTAATAAATTTGCTCTTTTTTAGCAAGAAGGAATTTTTTTTCCTAGCTATTTTGCGCTGTGGTCAGAAGCAAGAAGGAGGAAAGAGAAAATATTTACTGCAGAGGTTTCATTTTTCCCCATATGGGGAAAATAGAAAAGAAGATAACTCAAATTTTACTTTGAAACCTTGTTCTCATTTGTATGTTACCCTTAAGCAGTTTGCTAATGGAGGCAATTTCAATGGCAATTTTAACTAATGGAAATATTAGCAAATGAGGTTAAACCTTGAAAAAGAAAACAGATTTTTAGGTTTGTTATAGAAGGTTTTTGGTTGTGTTCTTTGTCAAAATGCCAGTGCTGAGTGTGGACAGCTGATAGAAGGAAAATCAATAATAAGGATGTGGAAGGGATGCTTTTGCTACAAATGTTTACCTTGAAAAGCCATCAATCACATTGTTAAACATTGGAAATTTAGGTACCTAAATAATTGGGATGATTGGAAAAGCCGAAAGGTGGGGCGTCCAGTTGTGGACGGAAGCTGCTTTCTACCATGGAGAAAGCGGGAATATTATTCTCTACAGCACCACGGAGACCCAGCCGGCCTGCCCAGGTCTAGAGCCCTGGAAGAGGAAAGAGTTTCCAGATGACAACGGCTCAGTCTACTCTCTACTGGAAAGAAGGGAAAAATAGCCTCAGAATAATCAGCTAAACTAGGGGGCCAACTGTCAGGCATTTGCTTTCCTGATTTACTGATGGCACTTGGTCCGGAGGCCAGGCCTTGTTTTCTGCAGGGTTGTTCCAGGGTTTACCAGGGGTGGTGTAGGGGCTGTGACCGTGGGAGGGAGGAGCTGGGGGTCGGGAGTAACTGCACGCACTCAGGTGCTTTTTGCTGAGAAATTGCCAGGCACTTGTAGGATCAATAATTCCCCAATCCTAACACTATGGTGAAGAGCAGGTGAATTCATGAGTGAATGTAGTGTGTAGCTCAGGAATGAGCACACAGACACTGACAGCTCACCATACCAGCACTGTTTATTAGCACAATGAATGAAAATAAGTCTAAAACTTATGTTCGGTGGCCTGTTACACAGAACACGTGAAACAATCGTGGATGAGTGGTTAGGTTACATGGGATTAAACCATCAACATCACAGCACATGCTATTAGATTCTAGGGAGATACTTCTGTTGACTTACTTCCTTTCATGTCATTTCCCCTATGTTTAGAGTCAGCAGACAAAATAATATTCTGCTTCTTAAAAATAATTTTAGTAGGAAAAATGATCAAATTTGTATGCATTACACTTATTCTCGTTTATTTAAGCCAAGAGTCCTCAGATTGTACTCCTAGAAATCATGGGATCTCCTGGTCACCTTGGGAAAATCATTTTCACGGTAATATTAAGCAATCATTTGTCTTGTTTTTTCACATGTGTTGGTATTTTTCCTGATGGTGCAAAAGTAATAATGGGCAAAACTGCTGGTGCCTTGGCATGAGTCATCCCCAGACCGCAGCGGCCACCATGCTGCACATCAGAGCATCACCAGGAAGCACTGCTTGGGCTTGGGAACAGCAGGGCTGAGCCGGAATCTGCACGGGCGGCCACGTGGTCTCCCTGCTCTGCACAAAGCCCTGGGCCTCCGCGAAGGCCCACTGTCTGGGCACCGAGGCAGCACAGGGCCTCGGGGTAACGGGGAGACGCGCTGTTGAGGTGGGCGGGCCACGTTTGTCATGCGCTTTGCTTTACTCGAAGAGCCCTCGCAACAGAGAATAATTACTCAGATCTCAAAGATGTTTTATTAAAAACAAGTAAAATGAGCCGAACTCTCCAAAGAAGACAACTGCAAGGAAAAAGCTTGAGTTTTCATAGGAAACTTAAACTTTTGGAAACCGTGTATCTATCACCACAAACTTGTTGAATTCCAAACATCACATATTTGTAGACTTAACTGATGACATCAGTGATGCTAACAAATGGAATTTTTTAAATGATTAATAATGAAATGTGTCAGTCTTTGAAAATTTTTCTAACCATTGGTCTTCAGAATACCAATGCATGATGTTACCAATTAACCCCCCCCAAAATATACTGATATGCAAAAAAAGACATTTATCAAAGAATATGTTGATAAAATATCAATTGGTACATGGTAGATGAACAAATTTTAATATGTGAGATATGAATATGAAAAAAATTCCTAGATATGATTTCAGATTTCATATTGTAATTAACCTTTTTAAAACTGCCACGTCTATACTTTCAGTGTAGTATCCAAGAAGACTATCACAATTATCTGGAAAAATTATCAAGAACTCATTCCTTTTTCAATTATATATTTGTGACTAAATTTCCCTTATATATTCAAATCAAAATAATAGATTCTAAGAATGAAATATAGACACAAGCATGAAAATTCAGATTTTTTAAATAAAAGCCAGATAATACAGTTATACAGAGATATTAATCCATTTCTTACTCATATTCTTGCTCTAAAAATAGTTATTTTGTATAAAAAGTCCTTTTTAAAACATGTAATTAATTCAGTTTTATAATAGATTAGTAAAACGTATTTATAAAAGTTGTGTTTTAATTTTTAATAGTGTGTAAAATCATAAATAGTCACAGATATAACCTACAAAACAAAACTTTTGGGGATTCCCATAATTTTAGGAGTGCAAATGATCCTGAGGTCAAAAGTTTTGAGGACCTCTGAAAATCAGTAAGCTGTCTGATTTTTTTTTTTTTCCTGGCTTCCATTTTTCAAAGCCAGATAAAGAGGAACAAGAGAAATCTAAAATTTTAGAAGTTGACACAGGGCCACAACAAAACATATGGTTCATGTCTAGTCTAGATGCCCCCCCCCCCAGCCTCATGCAATCGTGGAGGCAGCTGAAGCTCGCATTTGTGACTGGTTGTTGTCTAGCACTGGGACTAGCAATGTGAGTGCTGCACCCACTCAGGGTTGGAGCTGGCATATAACATAAAGGAAGGAAGAAGGCGTGTTTTTGGCTCTTTTGCCCTTTTTGCTCTGGCTGTTTGTGGCTGTCATGAACCACTGCCCCTCAGCCACACCCCCTGCCTTGGAGCCAGCTGAATATGGACTGAAACCTCTAAAACTGTAAGATAAATAAACCTTTCCTTGCCTAATTTTGGCATCAGATATTTTGTCTCAGCAACAAGAGAAAAGTAACCACGACAAGGCAATTAATAAGAAAGAAGTTTATTTAGACAAAAGGAGAGTTCTTTGAAGACATCAATAAAATGTATAAGCCTTTGGCCAGGCTGAGTAGGTGAAAAACAAACAACATAAACAAAATCAAGAGTGAAAGGGATTGATCACAGGTCCTCTAGTCTCTAGACAGATAATAAATAAACATTATGGACAACTTTGAGTACATCAATTTGACAACTCAAATGAAATGGTCAAACCTTTAAAACCCTTGTGAATAATGATATGAGATAAAATAGAAATCTAAGTAGTCTTCTTAAGGAGTAAAATTATCAAAAACTTACCCCAAAGAAAAGCCCAGGCCCTGTAGCTTTTATTGGTAAAAGTTTTATATTCACAGAGGAGTATCCTTCCTCCTGCATAGGCTGTTTCCTACGATGCAGAAGGTGAGCATGCTTGCCCGTGTTGCTGGTGGATTCCATGCGGGAAGTAAGAGAAAGAATAAATCAAAGCTAATGCTTGGTGGGGCTCATTAGGCATCTGCTAACATGGGGAAAGAACAGGTGCACTCATGAAACCATTCAGGTGGAAAGGAGTCCTGGGTGCCCAGGGCAGTGAGGGTCAAACCTCAGTGATGTGCTCACCAGTGATGGATGCTCCCTGGGACTGACAGGACTGATGGTGGCCTGGAGGAGAAGGAGCCCAGACTGAACAGTAGAGAGCATCTTTGTTGAAGGGGCGGGCAGAACTAAGCAGGCAAAGGGACTGAGCCTGTGCGGCCCTCGCAGAGTACCAAGATCACACGGTGATCTTCCCGCCAAATGGAACCAGAAGAGCAGGCAGCACTGAATTCAGCCAACAAAAGGCATGACGGACCTGACCAGAGCAGTTCTGGAAGACTGAGAGGGATGTCTTGTTGGAGCAAATAGAGGAGAAAACAGAGATAGAGCACAGCTGCTGTCAAAGTGGTTGGTTATAAAAGGAAAGAAAGGAACTTACGGGAGTGTCGGAGATGGGAGAGCTGATGGAATTTTTTAAGGCAAAATGACGGTGGGGGGGAATCCACTGGGGCGAGCACCATACTGGGCGGGTGTAGGAGAGTTTGGCCACGGTGTGAGAGCTGAGCCCTTGAAGAGACGGGCAGAGAGGCAGAGAGGCCGACGTGGAGCTGGAAGGGGCAGGCAGGCGCTGGCAGGAAGAGGGAGCAGGCTCTCAGAGGGCTCCCACTCCGCCAGCAGAGAAGTCAGCAGGCAAACAGGGAAGAGGAGCGGGGAGGGACAGAGACAAGGGAGCAGTCCCAGGCAGGGTCCCAGGATGGCAGGGCTCAGGTGAGAACAACGGGAGAAACCCGTTTTCCATGTGCTGCTCCCGACAGCCTGAGAAGGGGCCGTTTCTGGGGTTGTGGCCCAGTGACATCCAGGCTTCCCTATACTTCACCTCCAAGCGTCCATGGGAGAAGGGAATGGCTGCAGCCCATGGCCCTGACCTCTTGCCCTGCTGTGTTCTCAGCAACCCTCAGACCCCGAGTGCTGCCCTCTCACGCACCAGGTTCCCCGGCGGGACATTGGAAACTTCTCTCTCACCCGCCTAAATAAAACACGGGGCTCATGCCCTCCAGCTGGACACCATCCCACGCCTTTTCCGAGGAGTACGAGACAGTCTGGGCCCCTCTGGGCTGGTGACAGGAATCAGCTTAACATGGCTTCTGACACCAGAGACCTGATAAGGACGAGAGCACCGTGACCAGCAGGCAGTGATGCCGTCCCGTCCTGCAGGACGTACCCTCCGCGGTCAGCTGTGGCATCCTTCTGCGCCTGACCTACAGGCACTACTGAAGTTCTCTCTTCCCCTGCCACTCAGCAAGTTGTCTGTGAGAGCGTCACCAACTAATGGGCACACGAGCCTGGCTTCACACAGATGCCTTCAAACACAGTCCTGGGCTCTGAAATCTATTGCTTGAGATCAGAACTCTCTCTGGGAGGCAGAAATCTGCAGATCTCATTCACCCGCTTCAGCTGCTTCATCTGGTATGGTCAGGAAACTGAGTCACAAGGACAGTGAGAAGCCCATTCAAGGTGAAACAAAATATCAGAACTTTCACTTGAACCTTCTTGAATCCTGACTTTGGAGCTGTAAAAACCAGGATCACTTGTACAATTTACTGGGCTTCAGTAGGAAGTGGTTTGTTCACTAAACTTGGTCAGCTCTGTTTACACTGTATTTGAGATGAACCTCTGTTTATTATAGATCTGACCATTTAACTGGAAGAAGTTTTATATTTGCATGCAAAGGAGTGGCTCCATCTCACAGAGCTCTCACAGGCCATCCTGTACTATAGCAGAAAACTTCCAGTTTGAACCCTGTGTGTCACCTTTCAGATGCAGGAAAATAGCAGTTCCCTGAGACCTGACTTAGCACAAAGGGCAGCCGACAGACGCCACTGGGCCAAGCCCTGGGCTTTGCTTCAGAGTCCTGACGGTCTTTGCTCCCCTTCGTGATCACTTTGCTTGTCTCCCTGGACTTAGAAGTGAACATTGTGTCTTGACCAGGGTTGCAGATTGGAACCACTTGGCCCCGAGAGGGCTGAAGTCTCCTGACCTTGTCCTTGCATCCCCTGAGTGTGTCAGTGATAGGAGATGTGACCTGCTCCAGAAAGCAGTTCAGTCCAAGTCTTTCTGTTACTGTTTTCCAAAGCACCTCCTAACAGCAAATGCTGGGCCTTCTGGTGGAAAGTCCGTGAATTATACTAGATCCAAGGTCACCGCCACACTTGGGGATCATAACACTCAGCGCGGTTAAACTTCTCCCTGTACCCAGGGGAATTTTCAGTGCTAAAAACAGCATCAGTGCCAGGATTCCGGGCAAAGGAATTATTAATTGGCAATCAAAAGACTCCAACTAATGTGTTTACTGAGTGTGAACAAGAAAGGTTGTCACATCCAGAAGTTCCAAAATAGTTTTCCTTCTTTAGAAAGCGCGTCTTCTCTCCCTGCACCACAGTAGGCTCTGCCTGTTCGCGTTTTGTCATTGGCCACACAGAGCCAAGGTGACTGGGGGGCGGCGCGGGTGCAATTTCTCTGTTTGGCAAGGGTGGCTGTCTGGATGTCCTCACACCACGAAAAGCTTGACAGAGCCGTCATTTCAAAGTATGCCCAGCGCGCTGGGGAAGGTGCAAGAGCTGGCACCCGGGAGATAAACAGGGAGCAGGAACGCGGCTACTATCACTGTGGCCCATTCTTCCTGTCCTCGAGGCATCAGCAGCCTGTCTCTGGGCACAAGGTGACGGGCTTGAGATATGAGTAGGAGGATATAATTTCCATGCACTTCTGAGAGAGATAAGCACAGACACCCAGAGAAACACCACGCCAACCCGAAGCTTCCGACGATGAAGTAACAGGACCCCCAGATGGCTGATTATATTTAAGGAAATCAACATCACTGGACAGGAGAGGAGAGCAACTGAGTGCCATGTGAGCCACCTCTTGCGTCCCGTGTTAGCACGCTGTGCTGGGAAAGGCTCAGGGCCAGCGTGCTCAACAAGGATGCAAATGAACTACCGCGGCAGGGCTGTGGGAACCCTATAATCCGATGGTCCAAGTCTGACAGACAAGGAAAATGAGCTCAAAAATGCTATGCAGAGGCATTTTGAAAAAGCATTTCATTAAAATTCAATATAATTGTCTATGCAGTCTTAAGACAGACTCATTATTTCACTTTCTGTAAAGTTATGGAGTGAACTGCCCAGTGTCCTCACCCACAGAGGTTTCCTGAGGTCCAGCACCTGCTGCGAGGCCTCCTTTTGTCCCACAGGGTAGTTTAAAGGGCGCAGTGCAAGGGAGGCTGAGGCAGGAGGGCTTCCTGCTGTGTTTCCTCCCAAGGGCAGGACAAGGTCCTCTGAGGCTGCAGGCAGTTTTCTGCTAGGTAAAATTTGTTAGGCCCATCAGCTCCTGATTGGCACAATCACACATCTGCAAAGATCAACAAAATAAATATGTTCAGTTTGTTATGGGAAAATAAGTGATTTTTAGACAAGAAGAGTTTGATTTCCAACAATGACAGTCTGCTTGTGTGTGTGTGTATGTGTGTGTGTGTAACACAATTCTAAGCTCTACTGTGTTCAGTTTCAAATGTACTTCATACTTCTAGATCTGCTATAAAGTCCTGAAAAACTGTATTTAAGGTTTCAATTGAGTTATTACCAACTCATGATTGACCACACATATCTAAATGTATTGAATAAAAATGTTGCCCTTGTTCAAAATTCAATTTTAAATATTGAAATTAAATTATAAAAACATTAAGTATAGCCAGGTATGGTGGTGCACTCCTGTAATCCCAGCACTTAGGAGGCCAAGGCAAGGAGATCATTGCAAGTTCAAGACCAGCCTGGGCTACAAAGTCAGCCCAAGTCTTGCTGAACTGCATAGCAAGCCCTGTCTCAAAGACAAAAAAAAAAATAATAATTAAGTATCTTCCCAATGGGACAGGGCCAGGAAAAGAAGAAAGAGTTGGAAGGAACAAGAAAGAAAAAGGGAAAGACAGGAGGAAGGGGTGGGTAGAGGAAGGAGAGGGAGAGAGGGGGATTTTTGGTGATGTTTGTCCATGACGACATCTTCCCCCAAAGCCCCACTGTGTACCCCTTTTCATCTCTCTCCAGAGACCATGAGTGATTCCCCTCCAGCCTCTCATCACCCAAAGAGCACCCAGAAATACTGCTGTGCTGACGAACTGGCAAATACACGAATTGAAAGCCATGCTTTAACCTGTCCTTGGATTCATATATACTTATCAGCCAAGTATTGGCTACCAGAAAGAATTCTCTGGAGAACAGGTGGGGCGGGAGACTTCAGGGTACCCTGGCACTTAACGCTTGTAGCACAACATTTATGTGTCCTATGGGATACAGGGAAGACACCGCCAGGCATGGTGTGACTGGATTCCGCAGGGGGACACGCCTGCCAGAGCATCTTTCAAATTATCAGCGAGCCTCTCTCTGAATGTCCATCGTGATAAGACTTCTCTGGGAAACACCGAAGCTCCCACTGCTGATGGGCGCTGACCAGTAGGGACTGGCCCCTGTGTGCAACCCGAGCCTCTTTTACCCTTGAGCAGAAATCGACAGCACTGGTTCCGTGTTCCCAGAGAGCACACAACAGCTCACTTCTCCTCCTGCCTGGTACCAGAAAGGAGCCACTGCCTTCTTTCTGTGATCACTCACAGTTCCTCCATACCTGGCAGAGCCTTCTGCAAGAGCGGCTCCGAACCATGAACACAGCAAAGCACAGGCTGGACCCATCCTCAGTGGACTCTGCGCAGCTGCAAAGTTACTCGTGGTGGAAATGTAAGGGGCCAGGGCTCCCCACACTTTGCAGCCACCACTGTCTGATCTCAGAGAATCTGGGACGCAGGCACATCTTGCAATACTGTCATCTCTAGTCACAGGCCTTACAACATTCACGTCATGGAAATTTTCTGCCTCAAGTCCGAAAACATCTCTGTGTGAACTCTCATGCACCCCTAATTCCTTGGCAGTCCTTTACTAAGAAGCCAAATCCCGAGGGGTTGATGTTCAGGCTGTGACCCATGGTTGAGAGCAGTGTTCAGTAATAAAGATTTGATGAAACTTGTCAGGTTCTCCCTTCGTCACACCCGCAGGTAACACATTGACATGAAGGTAGACCTCACAGCACAAAAGCTTCACAACATACTGAAGAATCCAAATTGCTGCTTATTAAGAAGTAAGTCACATTTGTCCCTTTTAATACTGAGAAAGTGACACTGGGGAATGTGGTAAGAGGTAGCTAAAACTAATATTATTCCATATACAATCTATATCTAGAAATAACTTGAGTCTGAAGAAGCTAACAACTGTTTACAGAATGGTTTAAATTGTATTAAAATGTAAAAGTAAAGAAACTAGAACATGTCTTGTTTTTCCTATGAAGTAAACATTAAAAATAGTCTTTGATCTCTCCAATTTTTAACTGTGTATATTCTCTTTTGAATTTTAGGATCTGATCCACAAATGTTACCACCTCATGGATTTCCCAAGGAAATCCTGTTCCAAGCAGATGGTTCATCTATAAAAAGATGTTTGTCAGTAATATGGCAACGTAAACAAGAGAAACAGAAGCTAGGGTCTAGTGCTTAAAACAAATTTGATAAACGCAGTAAATGCTGTTCCCATCACAGCATTGCACACAGCAAAGACATCGCAAACCTGTTTGATTAGAGCTGCTGTGCTGTTGGGGAAGGATTTACTGACCCTTCATCTTATACTCTTATCTTTTAAGATTCATCATCAAGTCTCTTGGGCCCTGCCTATGTCACTTTGTTTTCTGTGCCCTCAGCACATGGTTACTGTATTTCTGGAACAATGAGAGACACTGTTCAGAGCTGTCAGTGCAGTGATGGGAAGAGACAGAACGAGGTTCCAGTAGTGCTTGTTAATGCCCCTCCTGGGAGCTGTCTTGCCCTCTTGCTGCCTTGCTGTGGTGACCTCTGCAACCTCACGCTCTGGGTCAGAGCCCCGGCCTGCCACAGGCTCACTCAGTGTCACTGGTTATTCAGGATCCCTGAAGTGGGCCTCCTGTGAGCCCAGAGGGTGACTGAAGAGCGCTTCCAGGGAGCCGGAGGAGATGAAGGGGCTGAGTGTTCCTTGCGTGTGCAGGGCTTGGACACACTGGCGGGGATGCGTTATTCTGTTTTGAGAACCTGCAAAATGAGCTCAGGGTCCTGTCCTCTGTCATAGCTCTTTCTCAGTACCTCCGGGAGGTGCCACACAGGGAAACGCGCTGGGCAGCCTCTGCACACCGTTAATGATTAGAGTGAGCCTGCCTGTCTGGAGTCTTCTGCAGGATTCCCACACCGTCCTCCCTGTTAACTTTATAAATCATTTTTAATAATGCTTTCAAGGTGTTGGAATGTGAGAGCCCTCCCTTGCTGGCCTCTGTCCCCACCTCAGTATGGCCTGGGCTTGTCCAGGCTGGAGCATGATGCTGATGCCCACCTGATGGCTTTTGTTTTCCCCAGCGGCCTCTACCTATTTCTTCAGAAACCAAGGAGGAGCTGGTGACTCGGTGTCTTCCCTGCTTTGGGGTTTGCAAGTATGTTTTGAACCCGTGTATGTGCATGGTACCTTTGGTTCTGTCCCTTTTCTATCCAAAAATGAATGTTCTGGAAACACACAGCTCATCATCTCTGTAACATGACATGATTGTCAAGGCTGTGGGTAAGGGTGAGGCTTGCTCTTCATGCGAGCTGCCCAATGCCCAACACTTTCCAAGTGCTTGCTGGATTAATAAAGAATGTGCCTTAGTGGCCCAGGTCTCGGTTGTCTTTTAGTAGGAGATTAATTCTTGGGCATATTTACTTTTATTTTACACAGAATTCTTTAGATTATGGTTATGTAAGCTCTCAACCTGCAAAAAGATGTTTGAATGATACATTCTCTCTGGCTATGAGAGAAAAATGTTTTCAGATGCCAGCCAGGCAGTGACACAAAAAATCACCAAGAATGCCTGGGACCCTTAAAGGCACAACAGAATGAGGTATTTGGAATATTCAGTGTAGGACAAACAAGTTTTCTAAGTGTTTCTGTGCATTTAAGCCCAATGTGAGAACTGATATCTGAAACCAGCTCAGTAGCTACAAACCTGAATTCTGGGGTCCAAATGCTGAGATGGAAACTTTGGGTCCTCATTTCCTGACCATGCAACTTTCCAAATGTTTTTCCTATCTGTGCTTTGGTTTCCCCATAAGTAAAAAAGGAATAATAAAGTTTACTGCTCTTAGAATACATGAAGACAATAATGTTAATCACGGTCGTGTGTGCCTACATGGAAATTACTTTAGACACAGAAAAGTATAAACAGTATTTTAGAAAAGTCCTATCTAAAATAAATTTAAAAAAAAAAACAGGATGTGGGACAGGAAGTTGGTATTTATTTAACTCCTACTGATTTTAGGTGACAGTTCCATTCCAGGCACTGCAGTAGGGACTATATATAAATTTCTTCATTAAAAACAGTGCTATCATTTCTGTTTTTATATGTGAGAAAACTAAGGCAGAGAGATTGCTCCCATCTATTTACTCAGTCACTCAACATCAGTTAGAATTTGACTGTCTGCCGCGGGCAGCATAAAAAGCAGAGCCAACTTTGAATATGGATGCCTTCTTTCATTTCAAAATAGCATTTCAGTAAACTTAGTTATTTTCTACACTAGATAAGTAATTTATTATTTTTACACATAGATATCAAGTGTAAACCTTCAGCATAATAAATTAATGTAATCATAGTTACTGAGTATGACCCAATTAATGTTCAGAAGTCATCTACATATGAAAAAAAGAAAGGGAAAAATACACCTAAGCCTTTCAAATATTTCAATATGGGTTCAAATTGTTATTAGTTGTCTAATAAGGTGTTTGTATTGTGCTGAGTCATGATTTCATGCCAGTAAATATTTCTTTATAAGTGTGTAAATATCCTTAGGAACCTTGAAATTTCTATCACTATCCAATAATTTTCTTTGTAATATTTTTTCTAGTAGAATTTAACATTTTCTGTCTTTTGCACAAGTTGTAGATTTTTAAAAGTTTTGGAATCATGTAGACAAAAATCTAGATGTCAATGCTATTTTAGTGAGACATTTAATAAATATGATGAATTGGTCTACTTACATCAGCTGTCAAAGCTGAGGTTACATTTCTGCTCTTGAAGGTTGCTTTGATTGTGCTGAATGTTTGAGATGAGATTCAAATGGGGTTTATTTCCTATAATTCCCACTGAGAAGGCAATTTCCTGGCTTAACTGCTCTCTTAGCAAAAAATGACAGATACCAGAAAGAGAAATTTGATACAGAGATTTTAAAGTTTTATCCATATTCATTACTTTACTGTCTCATATCCAAACCATCACTGACACAGTGGTGGAAACCACGGTTTCTTAATTTCACAGTTCTCAGAAGTTAACTTGCAAGGTTCAGATACTGGCGCTTACTTAGCTCTGTGGCCTTGACTAAGGCATTTATTTGGTGATGAGTCTCTGCTTCTTCCTCTGTCATTTGTGTTAAAATAGATCCACCTAACAAAAATAGGGCAAACAAAGTTAATTCACATTTGTATCAGCTGTTTGCAGCTTTGATGATTTAAATTTGGGGAAATAAGAATAAATGTCACAGGTTATTCTTGAGTTTCCAATTCCTGTTGAGCCCTGAACTCATGTCTCCTTGGGGTTGGTGCTGAGTTGAAATAAATGGAAGAAAATCATGGGGCACTCCAGGTCAGGAGCTGCTGTACCCTGGGAGTGTTTAGTGTGTAATAAATGGCAGGGCTGATTCAGGTAGAGTGGGTTTTAGAAAAGCATTCCACTATCTCCACCCCTTTAACCACCCCTCTTGGCCTTGTGATTTTTTTGTTTGTTAGCGTGTGCTCTCCAGGAATGAGAAACAGGCAGGGAAGATCAGAGACTAGATAGATGCCTTTCAGGTTAATTGAAAAGAACAGCGCAGTCTTCAGGATTGCCATGGTCACCCCATTTATCACCGGCCCATTTGAAGGTTCCTCAAAAGCATCAGCACTTGACCAGCACCAGACAGGTGGCAGAGACAGCTGCTCCCCCTCAAAGGCCGGCAGATCTGCTGCCAACCCAGTGTCCCTCCACTGTGGATCATGGCTGGGTCTCCCGTCAGGAGCTGTGTGGCTCTCTCTCCTCCCCAGGGACTGTTTCCTGCTTGCTGCTTCCTGCTTCTTGCTTCCTGTACAGGGCATTTGAGGCCACTGGTCTGCAGTCACAGTCTTGTGTCTGTTCAGACAAAGACAGAGTTGGAGCCCCGCTGGGCAGAAGGAAACCTGCAACACAGCCTGAAGATCAGCCCTGCACAACACAGCCAGTGGTGCGCGATCCTCTCTCATAAAAGCTCTCCTCCTCTGGGCAAATCCTTTGCTCAGTATGATGACCGCTTCGCTGAGCTGATAGTCCAAACTCACAGCTGGGTGTCCTCTTTCACCTCCACACCCTTGAGGAGGGACATGTGCAGAACTCTCCTGTCACCTTTTTGTTAAATATCATCCATGCTGATTATTGCTTCATAGTTCATAGAGGTTTACATTATTAGGCTTAATTAGTACAGCAACCCAGTAGGTACCTATGGAAAGATAATTCTGCTGGTGTGACTGCTGTATATAATAATTCATGTTCCACCTCACCTCATGTTGAAAATGTACGAAGTGATGAAAGTTTAAGCCTAGGTTTTCAGATGAGTACACAGAGAGGGCCTAAGGAGAACAAGACCACACAGGTGATTGGTTGTAAGTCAGTTAACCCAGGTCTCTTACCTACACAGTCTAAGCTTTCTCTGTCTCCTCTACCCTTTCCTCTCCCTCTTCTCTTGAGAACACTTATTCTTGACTTTATCCTCATATGTTTACTTGCTCTATGTTTAGAGACTATTTCAGCGGCTGAACTGTATCTTCTTAACATTATGAGTTTCTTACTTACTTTTTTATTCTTCCAGTTCCAGAGCAACACAACAGAATAGTAAGAGGAGCAGGAACAAAGGCTCAATGTTTTATGTTAAAGTGACAAGGACAATGGGTTAAAACTCTTCCCAGAAAGTGGTAAATACTAAGTTATGCCAGGAATTAAGCTGTTTCTAAGATCTCTTAATCTACATCTACTCTCCCTCACTCATTTTGTTGGAAGAACTTTAATAACTGGAATATCAATTACAGTGTTGTTCAGCTCTAACCACAAGACATAACCCCGAGGCCAAACATTACTTTTGTCTCTATTTCCCTTCTCTTTGTTATTATTCCTATTCACAAGTAATCTGCATGTAAAGGACAACATTTTCTTTGAGAAGACATAAGCTGAATTTCTGTTTGAGAGGTTTATGAAATGACACAAAGTAGCATGTATGTTGGAGCTCAATATAAACCCAAGTACAGAAGAGAATGCTCAAACAGTTCAGGGGTGATGCGCTAGTTACCCGTATGTAAGAAAGACTAAGCATCTCAGAAATTCCTGAATAGAAAGCTTAAAAACCAAAAATAAAAATAAGCAATTTATTTTAGGTAAAATTATAAAAAAAAGTTTTTCATTATTTATAATACAATGAAAATGCAATAATTTGCATTTGTGAAAATCATTGTACTTTTCAAATTTCCATCATAGCAACTCAAATGCAGTTTCCAATCTTCAGATCTTATTGATAGTGATAATTCTTAGAAACTACTGAAAATTTTTGATACATACAGAGGAATCCAGAGGAAAGAATTTCAGTGTTTCTTGAAAAAAAACCTCCCCAGGGGAAACAATGGACAGTAACATGGACAAGGTCAGAGGACCCAGCCTCCTTTGCTGCCTCATACAGAAAATGCATTTGTTTGTCTCATGAGTTTCTGTTTTACCTCATTTTTTTATGTACTTGGCCCAATAATATCCTGTTCCCTCCTGATAAATTTCACAAAGAAAGGAAAAATTCAGAAGCCAGCATTTCCTGAGGTAGTAAATCACAGCGTGAGGAATTCATGTAACTGTCACCCATTGTCCTCGACATTGATATTTTTTCCTCTTTCTGTCTGTGTGTCCCTCACCACCTACCACATTTCCCCACACCTGGTGGTTCTCTCAGTTGAACAAAGAGAAGGTGAGTCAAAGAGAAACCAAAATGCAGACTCATCAGCCATTGACTATATATTATGGGCTAATCTACTGATAATTGAAATGTGGCTACATTTTTTCCACATTTTTCAAAGGGACAAAGATATTATTGTCAAATAGATATTTTGCTAATAAAAAATTGGCTCAGAAAATAACAAATTATAAAGAAATTGTATCCTTGCATAGAAAATTATATGGAAAGTCAAATCTTACCAAGTGTCATATTTTGTGGTTCTTCTATAATGGAACAAGACAAGATGGTCTTCAACTCGTTTTTACTTAACATTTAAAAAAAATTTTTGTACTAAGGCCTTGGATCTGTACATAGGAAAATTCAGAATTAGAAAATAAAAAACTGGATCAGCATCTTTAATCCAAAAGTGGGGAAAGAAGAAAAAAGCTAAAAATTGTTTAATTATATGACTTTTAATCATTGAGGAAGTCAAAAATAGAAAATGAAAAAATCAATTCTAATTTTTCAAAATTTTAAATTCTGTATCTGTCATTCCACTTTAAATGAAATACTGGCTTCTTGTTATAATTTATACTAAAATTATTCTTTGTTCTTTACAGAGAAAAGAAAATAACCCTATATTTAGTAAGATTTCAAGAATAGGATTTAGAGAAGAGCCAACTTTTCTGTATTTCTTATAAGCTGGAAAACAATATTTGTATAAAGAGTAAGATGAATATCTATTTCTTACAAGAGACTTTGATATCACCAATTTTCCTATTCAAGATGGCGCCATGGGCTGGGAATGTAGCCCAGTGGTAGAGCATTTGTCTTGTGTCCACAGGCCATGGGTTCAATTCCCAGCACAAAAGTGAAGCCCCTTACAAATATCTCATCACCCAGACAGAGTCTTGAGATAAAGCCCAAAGTCTGTCTTGGTGGAGAATATTTTGACAATTCAAAGATCAGTCATTTGCTGGTCAAGTTCAAACTCAGACCAGACCAAAAAAAAAAAAAAAAAAAACAGGAAAGATACACTAGAACTATCTCTATTCGGTTTGTACATTTTGCAGCAAATCAGTCTTTCTCCCCACATTCAGTCCAAGGTAGACTGACTCATTAAAAGATTAATTTGACTACACCTATCCATTCTAGCTCCTATAAAGCAGAGCTGTAAAGATTCCAAACTAGAGAAGGCTCATGTCCTACATTAACCTTCCAAATTCAGAAAGTCCTAGATTTTAATTCATTTCAGACTGTTTCTTATGTTCTGGAGGGTTCTGTCTGGGTTATCTGCCGTAAATTTGAAAGCATCCAGGAGTTGCTACTGCTCTTGGGTTTTACATCCACTGAATCCTATCTAACATGTGCTGATGTGGTAATGGCTGCTATTATTAGGCAAAAATTCTCATTCTTATCCTAATGCTCAGCATACACAAAAATATATTAACTAACCAGCTCACTATCTTTTGTCAAGTTGAAGAATATAAGAAAACTTGGATAAGAACTTGTTGGACAAATGTGAGTTCACAGACATAAAAATATTAATTTAGTTTTGACATTAATGTTTGCAGAGTTCTCAAAATGTATGCTCATGAGAAAAACACAGGCAAAAAATGACAATATTAAAATAATTTATGACAAGGGAAGATAAAAAACACATGCTTCAGGAAACTGAAAAATACATCAGTGATTAAAAGTAGAGAGTTCAAAATGTCTTCCAAGAAATTCACACAAATCTTTCCATAACAGGGAAATGCCAGATTAGAAACACCAAGTTATAGTCCACAGTGAAGACAGAAACATGTTCTTGTCCAGTTGGGAGCCTAAGAACCTTTCAAGCAGGGAAAAAAGAACACCAATAAAAAGGAAGAGCAGTGTCTATACCTCTACCACTGCTGCTCTGGCCCCGGGGACCAGTTAGGAGAGGACCTAGGACCTCTCAGGGGTAAAGTAACTCCACCCTCAGGGGTCACTTCCAGACTCAAGACCAAGCAGGCGTGGCCATACAGACTCAAATGCATATGACATCACCCATGTCGCAGAATTCAAAGGACCGCCATCTGTAGCTAAGTCAGCATAGTGGCGGTTGAAGAGCCTTGTTTGAGATACCATTTCTAACTCTTGTAAGTTCTGAAACATGAATTTTTTTCAGTACCTAAACTACTGGTGAATACAGTCCAAGTACTTCTGAAGAATGCCTTCCTTAAACTGGCACCATTAACACATCATGGTTTAAACTACTTATTTTTAGAGGATTTTTATTTAGGCTCAGTATTCTAATGTCAGTTGCAATGACTCCTTTATTCGTCTCACAGACTGCCCTTCTACCCAGTGTCAAGAAGGAAGCACAAAGCATGCTTTGGCTGAGTTTGGGTTTGCTAACTTCACGAAAATTGGGGTGCTTCCCAGGGAAAGGAACAAGAAGCATTACATAATCTGATATACCAAAGTTTCTGCTTAGCAACAACCTTGTGTGAACAAAAAATGTATTCAGCTTGAGTCATTCTCATGAGCACCAGAGAGGCTTTTGGAAGCCTAGAATATCTTTGAGCCACTACCGAGGCATGCCAATTTACAGGGCTAGAAAAGCAAATATGCTAATTTTTGTAAACAGCCCCTCTTGGGACAAATTCTGGAATACTATGATGAGAGAGAAGGAGAGTACATCTCTGTTATTCTTGAAAAACAAAGCAGCTGATCCCAATATTCTAATTAAATGAGGTTCTCTGGAAATCTTACTTCAACCATAGGGCTGGTATTTTTCAAAATGCTTATTGAGATGTGAAGCTTTTGTGGCTCTTTGAGAGAAGCTGAAAGTTTTGTGTTTCTATGGTACTGTTTTCCCTCTCTTGAAAATATTTTTGGTGACCTACTTCAGGAGAACTCTTTGAAAGAAAGAGAAAGCTACTTGGAAATCCTTGCCAACAGCGCCAGCAGTTCAGATAGTTTACTAAAGCATCACTGATGCCTCCCCCTTCTATTTGTGTCCTACACAGCTAGCGAAGAGGAATTTATTATTATGGAAAAATGTGTGCGAGTTCTGAACAGCTGTAATTTCTGAAATTCCTCTTACATGGGCTTTAAAAAATCTGTTTTTTATAATATTTGTGCCACCTGTTCTATTAAATATGATAGAATGTGGTGTAGTCTCTTTCCTGTCTAGCAATCCCCTCAACAAAGACAACCATGAAACATTCCTATTTCCCATGTATCTGCCTTTTCTCTTTATTTTCATCATTCCAAATGCATGTGGCAATTTCTGTGATTGCTGACTTTTCTTTAGTCCTCAGCACAGTGATGTTTCTGAAATGCTGCTCAGTCTAAAGTCCTCAGGGTTTCTTTGCACACAGTGGGCACTGAGTTGTGCATTCCAGCGGGGTGGAGATTTCGGAGTCTCAGGGCACCAGAAGTGAGGCGCAGCGTGAAACCGAGGATGAGAGGGTGCTGCGCGGGAAATGTAATGCAGAGGGAGATGCTTAGGCCAGGCAGCACCCAGCGGGCTGGCCCTGCACCCTCGCCACCAGTGCCAAGGACATAGAGACGGCAGGGGTCCCCCACAGCTGTGGTCCTCAACCCTCACAACGCCTCGGGTCCACTCCGTGCGTCCTGGGCCACCAGTGAGTTGTCTGGGCTGCATCCTCCTCTGCTGCCGTGGTCCTTGGCGTAAGACACACTTTTCTCATTCTTGGTTCCCTGATTCTGTGCAAAAATAAAGAACAAGAAACTTCATCTGGGGCTCTCGTCAGCTGGTCAGACTTAGGAACCCCAGCGCTATTTGAACATCAGTTCACATAATTTACGATGTCCACAAACTAGGGTGAGATTTTACTGTGTAAAATCGATATTTAAAAATCAATTTTATTTCCATTTACTAGCAGTGCTAAATTAGAAATTAAAATCTAAAAACAAGAGTCATTTATAATAGCTCCAAAAAAATGAGCCACCACATATAAACTACTAAATGCAGGAAATAGTTATATGCTGAAATTATACACTGCTGATTTGAAAATCAGAGTATTTACATAAATGACATTTCTTCAAAATGCATTTTTCTTTTGCTTGAAAAGGTTTTAAAAATATTTGTTCTAGTGTGAGTTGACTAATTGAATTCTCTCAGCCCTCGAATGCATGAAAACATTTTTTGCCTTCTTTTTAAAAAAAATTGCTCTTGGTGAAATTTTAGTCTGAGTTTTTAGTGCTTTAAACATGTATCATGCTCTATCCTTTCTGAAGAAAAACTGGCCATCACTATTGACTTTGTTCCTTGGTACAGTACCTTGACAGAAACCTTTCAAGATTTTTTTGTGACTGCTTTTTAATCATCTATAAGTTATTTACCTTGCTATAACTCTAAGTTAAATTTTTCTTAAAATGTGAAGTTTTTTCAGCCACCGTCTCTTCGGTGTCTCTTGCTTTTCAACTCCAGTAAAACAGATCATTGACATTTTGTAAAGATCACCGACGTTCTGTCTACTCTTTTTCCTCTCTAGATAGTTTATGTCGCAGTCTTTTCCACTGCAATCTTTTCTAAATCTTTCATTCCACAATATCCAATCAGTTACAGTGCACTTTTTCTTTCAGACATTGTAGACTTTATTTCTAGAAGCCTTACTTGAATCTTTTTGAACTTCTATGACTCTACCTAACATTTTTATATACAGAATATAAGTTCCAGCTTTTAATATCCTTACCTACAAATTCTGCATTTGTTTTATTTCTGGGTAGATTTTAAGTGATTATTTCCCTACTTGTCATGGATTGTAGACATCAACTTCTCTTAGTTTTGTCTTAAATTTCAGACATTAAGAATTGACCTTGTTAGATGTGAGATATTTTTGTATTGCCATAAGTATTCTTGATTCATTTTCCTCTGGGTTTCAGTTATTAAGAAACAGATTCCCATGTATCTTATTTCAAAGCTTTGCTTTCCCGGCCCAGATTAAACCTTTAGTGTGGGGCTGTCTCCCATTAAGGAACAAGCCGCTGCATACTAGCAGCTATCTTGGATTTTTCACTCTGCCAGCAGGAAAATGTCCTTCTCTGGGTGCTGCAGGGCTGACAAGGCTCCCTCCCCTCCAGTGCGTCTGTTTTGCTCAGATGGTTTCCCTGCACATGTGAGCTGGTCACGCTTCAGCTGAACACTAAGGCGTCATCTCACACGCCACACCTCTCAGCCAAGCAGCCCTCTGCTCTCCAGTCCTCTACCTATAATGTCCAACTGCCTCCCCGCCCAGACGGTCAGCTCCACTCAGGGGTCTCCTGGGCACTCCCAGCTTTCTCACTGTGTGGGGCCAAAGGCTCAGTCTCTACGAGGAGCTCAACTGGGAAATTGAAGCCTCCTTCGTTTGTTCCCAGTGTCTCAGGAATCACTGTGCCATGCTGTCTGGCGTCCAGTGTCTTAAAAACCAGTGTTTCCTGTATTTTGCTATTATTTGATTAAATCAAGCCTGATGATAAATCTGATCCCTGTAACTTCATCTTGCCAGAAGCAAAGTCTCAAGGGGACCACTGAAAGGGCTTCATACACAGACCTAACTTCTAGGTTTATCCCTCTTAAATTTTATTATGCAACTTTCTTTTTAAAATTTTCTGTCATTTTAAGTATCATCAGACTAGTCCTCAAATATCTATTTTTAGATGGGAAAACTAAGAATAATAATTTGAGTTATAAATCTACTTTATGTGAAGTGGAACATCAAAATATGTTTAGTATAAACATAATTTCACAGTTGAATAAATTATCACCAAGTACAAATCTGTTTAGCACCAACAAATTAAGGACTCAATTGCTGGCATCTCCTCAGAAACTGCTCACAAATCCCTGGCAAGCCACACACATGCACACGCATTGCACTTATCTGGCTTCCTTTCCTCAGTAACTGCTGTAAGTTCTACAGAGTTAGCAGCACGGTGTGACGTGGCTGGTGGGGATCTTACCGAACTGGCTGGGTACCTCCCTGGAAAGTTTTGCTTAGGATCAGAAAGGGATCCAAGGAAGAAGAAGAAGGAAGTAGTTTAAAAATTTTGTGCATTTCTAAGAAGAAGTAACTTTTGGCTAATTTAATAGATCATACACACACAAACTGCTTCACATACACGGGAATGAAAAGGAAATAAGATTATGAAAACTATTAAAATTATCATGAAATATAAAATTCCATTGGTATTAAATTTAAAACTACTAATAAAATAGATACTTTTCTAGGAAAAATGAAGCTATTATTTGAAAAGAGAAAATCAAGTATCTGACTACACAATTACAAAAGTTTAATGTTCTTAGGAAAATTATTCAAAGAATTATCTTAGTTTCAATGATTTTATCAATGATTTATTTCAGATTTTCAAGAAAGAGATCATTTTTATTCTGCAGAAAACGTGAGGCTTGGAAAATGACTTAAGTTTATCTTACGAAGTTTTAGCTAACATAAAAATCTATGCATTAATCTCAGAAATGTTAATAAACATATTAAAGAATTTCACATCAAATAGAATATGACCAGCAAGGAATTACTTCATAAATAAGCAAATAATATGTCTGTTAATATACTTAATTATATTAATAAATTAGTCAATAATTTTCCATAATAATAAATATTGATTTATTAATTTATTAAACAAACATTTTTTATGAGATCAGGTGTGTTCAGGGTGGTAAGGCCGTAGACAAACAAACATTGTTGAAAGACTTAATATATGGTAAGTACCATTTAAATTCTGAAAATACAGTATAAATAATGCAATATCCCTGCCATCATAAAATTTACATTATAGTGGGCAAGAGAGGCACTAAACATCTTTGAAGTGAAAAGAATAAATGTTACACTGCCATGTAATCTAAGAGCTAGGAACAAAACTGTAACAAAGTGAGGGGAAAGAGAGTCACAGAAAGAGGCCACCACCTGCTTGGAGAAGCTGGTCTTGGAGGGGATCCGAGGGCGACACAGAGCGACTGCCAAGGGGCTGTCTAAAGGAAGCTCCCAAACAAAGACAGAGTAATCTAAAAGTCTGTAGGAGAAAATGGCAGAGTACCTCTCGGGCCGAGGAGAGTCACCTTGGTAGACAGGACTCCTGGGAGGGAGGAAGGGACGTGAGCTGACGCCAGCGAGAAGGCAGGAGCGGGCATTCTGCTCCGTTGCCCTCACTCGGGTCCCTGGCCAACCAAGCCTTGCAGGTGACTACTGGCACCAGGGTGACCCCAGGCCTCCAGAGGCAGGAGCCTCTGCCAGAGCTCACAGGGTCACATTTCACAGTCCCACAGGGACAGAGCGCGCAGCCTCGGGGAACAGGATGCCTTGAGAAGTGAGACCCCAGATTTAACAGCTCCTGGAGTCAGAGGGAAAGAGACCAGGGCAGCTTCAGTCAGAGCCAGAGAGGCGTTAGTCAGAGCGTAGGTCACAGCCAGGAAACTCCTCGGACAGGCGTGCACAAAAGTACAGCACGGAATGCACACAGCGTGCAGCTACAGACTGGGAAGCTTTATGGTTTTTCAAAGCAGAGTATTTCTAACTAACTTTTTCTGTTTTTAAACTTTTTATCGGTACCAGGGATCAAACTCATGGCCTGCTTGCAAGGCAGGTGCTTATGCCGCTGAGCTAAATCGCCAGCCCCTCTAACTAACTTTTTAAGGGTTATGCTGGACTAACAAAAAATGGTACTCAGATTAGAGAAATAAAAATAAACCATTTATCCAGAAAGTTACCCATTCAGTTTTTTCCTCAGTTAAAAAAAAAAATTAAATCATTCATTGTCAGAACTTTTCTATTTAAACAGTAGTGAGAAGAATATTTAGGAAACTAATCTGGAAATTAAATTAAAGAACTAAACTCTAAATCTCATTTCAGAAATAAAAGACAATGATTCCCTTCAGGGTTCCCCACAAGCCCTTGTTATTAACATGGTCTGAGAACAGAGCTGGAACTTGGAAAACATGATGGTATTCAAGCAAATTCATAGCCCACAGTTGATGCTTGGGCCTGTGTTCCTAAATACAAAGTCACAGAATTAGTGCCTGAAGTAATATATATTTAAACTAGAGGGAACAAAGTGTTTGTGGTAAACACGTTCAAGAATCTAGAAGTGAATATTAATTTAGCATTTGAATGTGCTTAGGTTTTTTATGCCACATAAATGCGATTCTCCCTGGCAGGAATAAAGGACCGTTGGTGGCACTATAGGGAAAAATCTAGGGCAGCACTCTCTTGCCCTGGTCACAAGTTGCTTTGCCACTGCAGATTCTTGTAATTATAAAGCAAATTCTTTTCCATTTTGATTTGATGCGGTAGGGATTATTTCTCTGTTGAGGACTGAACAGAATGTGGCTAGATGTTGAGAAATACCTAATTTATGTAACTTTCTGAGTGTGTTCTCCACATGTTAGACTATGTTGTTTCATACAAGAGAAGAGTATGTACATAATTCCCTTCAAATACTGCAATTTTTATAAAGACAGAATTCTGCTAGACACATGGGGGAATATATCTCCCCTAATGTAAAGCTCAGAGCATCCTTGAGTGGTACCAGCTCAGTGGTACTCTACATGGAAACAAATACCATGCATTCATTTTACATTACTCAGCAACACCTTTTTCCTCTTCAAATCATAGTAAGCAAAGCTGCAAAAGATATCATGTATTTTTAAACTCAGAAAACTACGATCTTCATGCTTCATGAAGTACAAAAATCTACAGTACAAAACTACT